ATTCTGAGGAATAATAACAATAACATGGGCAGTTCCTCCATTTTCTTCCTATGCGTTCTATCTGCTTGCCTCCTATATGTAGTCACGCCTCAACCACTTTCGACCAATTCCCGATGGGTCGTAAATGAATCCGGCCAGCGCGTGAAGTTAGCATGCGTGAATTGGGTGGCGCATCTTGAAGTCGTGGTGGCTGAAGGGCTAAGCAAGCAGCCAGTGGATGCAATTTCAGAAAGGATTTTGGATATGGGATTCAACTGTGTTAGGCTAACTTGGGCACTTTTTTTGTTCACCAATGACACTTTAGCATCAATCACTGTAAGACAGTCTTTCGAGAACCTTGGATTGGTCGAATCCATTGCAGGTTTACAGGCAAATAATCCCTCCATTGTTGATCTTTCCCTTATCGATGCTTACCAGGTAAACTCACTTTGCTCTGCTACCTCAATCATTGTCTACTTGACTAAAACCTTTTATATATTTTATGTTTAGTGGTCTTTCTTTATGTTTACTTTCGACAACTACGAAGAAGGGCAATTACTAAAAAACAGAAAATATGTTTGCCGTGCCTGTCGTTGCTTGCCACCTGCTTTAAGAAATTTTCCTGTCCAACTTTATGATCAACTAACGTTACTAACCCACGTTGGAAAAATTATATTTAATAGGAACAATTGTTTATATATTTAATTTTTTAAAAGTGAAAATGGTATAATAGTTTAAAATATTTTCTTAGTTCAAATTGATTCAACAAAAAAATGGAGATTGGATTAGGCAAATCTAATTTCGTCACCGTTTGAACCTCATTTTATAAAATTCATTTTTTGTCAAATTTATCCCTATTTTTCACTCACAAATTTCCAAACAAAAAAAAAAAAAATAATCACTTTTTACAAAATTAATTCTAAAAAAAAATTGGGCTCGGGGGCCTAGATAAGAAGAGAACTAGTCATAAAGTTTAGGTGGTGTTGATAATTGATAGTGACCCATATATTAGTAATGTTTCACTTTGGTCTCTTCTAGGTAAGAATACATTAATACACTAACTTATAATCAAGAATGAGTACAAAATAAAAGTCAAAAGAGGAATCCCAAACATGTTAAGAGAGAGACTCGTGCCATTAGCTACATGTTTGATTTACATTTGCTTTTTGTAAATTTTTATTTATAAATGTAAGTTCAGTTACATCTTTTGCACATTAGAATTTTCAAGATTGAATAAGATAATAATCAATATTGTTTGTATTGCCATTCTTCTTTTACAATGTTCGACTCCGTCCAAGTCAACATACTAAATATACTAGCAAGAATAGATGTTTAATAAAGCCAACATCTCCGTAATACATAAAATTTGATCAATCGAGTACCAGCTACGTTAACTTAGTATACTGAGTATATCGAGTATCACATGTTTTCAACCTCGAAAAAATGGGTGGTCTTTTCACTCTTCGTGTAATGCAATAGGAATGGCCAACATATGTATCTAATTAGTGATAAATGTGTGTGTGCAGGCAGTGGTGGCCAGTCTTTCAAACAACAATGTGATGATAGTATTAGACAATCAAATAAGCAAGCCAGGTTGGTGTTGCAGCAATTCTGATGGAAATGGCTTCTTTGGGGATCAATATTTCAACCCTGACCTATGGATAAATGGCCTAACCAAGGTAGCCACAATGTTTAAAGGGACCAAAAATGTAGTAGCCATGAGCTTGAGAAATGAACTCCGAGGCCCAAACCAAAATGTAACTGATTGGTACAGGTATGTATATGTTCAAACTCATAAATGAAAGCAAGTATTATGTGTCATGGTAAAGATTTAAATGAAGGGTCTTTTAAGTGTATGGCAAACTTAGGCCACCGTCTACTGAGAGTTGGTGGCGGAGGTGGGTTTGGTCTAGCTCTAATGTGTAGTATGTTGTGTGTACCATCCCTGTTTTTGCTTAAAAGCCAAAAAAGGGGCTTTTTTGTGCTTTTCTAAGCAATATGACTCCCTCTCATTACTCCTCGGGAGAACCCGAGTTACCAAGTACTGGGGAGTCTTGGACTGGGGATGCAGAGGGGGAAGGGACACCAACGAAAAAGAGTGTTAAAGCATCAAATGCAACTTGAATGGCATTTGTGTACATGTTTCTCTTCTTATTCTTTCATCTATAATGATGTAGGTACATGCAAAAAGGTGCTGAAGCAGTGCATGCTGCAAATCCTAATGTTCTCGTCATACTCTCTGGACTGAATTACGACAAAGATCTCTCTTTTACCCTCAACAAGCCCGTACAACTAAACTTTACTAACAAGCTAGTTTTCGAGGTACATTGGTATGGTTTCTCCAATGGAGAGGAATGGGAAACATCCAATCCAAACCAAGTTTGTGGGCAAGTTTTGGGTAGTTTAATGGGGAATGCAGGGTTTGTTTTGGAGCAAGGGTACCCTTTGTTTGTGAGTGAGTTTGGAGTGGATATGAGGGGCACTAATGTCAATGACAATAGGTATTTCAATTGCTTCATGGGATGGGCAGCTGAATATGACTTGGATTGGGCATTGTGGACACTTGTTGGGAGTTATTATTTGAGAGAAGGGGTTGTGGGAATGAATGAATATTATGGGGTTTTGGATGAGAATTGGCGTGATGTTAGAAACTCAAGCTTCCTGCAAAAGTTGTCTGTTCTGCAATCTCCTTTTCGAGGTATGTTTTAGAATACCAGAAAATTAGACAATAAGATCGGTCGATTTGCAAAAACATAGATAGAAAATTGCAGCGACACATTATATTCAACAATTAGTAATTTGGTCGATCCTTCTCTATTTCCTTTTGTGTGGATAGTGGAAGGGAGGAGAGGGGTGGTAGTGGGACCAATCCTTGATCACTTGACCTTGGTCGTGGAAACAACAATCCAACCAACCAAGACAAGCTGAATTGGTTTGGCAGATCCTAGTGAGTCTTATTTAAACAATTCAGATGTAGCCTAATGATATAACTCAGGAAGCATACTTATGAAATTAAGAAAAATAGCAAAAATAAATTCTAATGCAATAGTTTCAAAATTAACAAAACCGAAACCATATTTTCGGATAAATAGTAAATAGAAAGCTTTACCCCTATAAAGATGAAATTTGCCTTTAAATCGTATGATCTCGAAAGAGTCTTTGCCTTGAGTTTTGCTTAGAAATCAATTTCTACTTTAGATTATAACTAAAATTCAAGCAATACAACTGTAGTTTGGACTAAATCACTATATATCCATTTAATAAATTATTCTAATTTGTATTTTTGTGCTAAAAGCAGGCCCAGGTTACGACGAAATTCGTCCTCATAAAGTAATTTTTCATCCAATGACTGGTCTCTGTATCCAAAGGAAATCACTTTATGAGCCCTTGGTTTTAGGTCCATGCTCTGAGGCTGAAGCATGGTCATATACACCAAAGAAAACAATAACAATTAAGGGCACATATTTCTGTCTACAAGCAGATGAATTGGGGCTACCAGCAAAACTTGGTATAATATGCAGTTATGCAAATTCAAAATGGGAAACTATCTCAGACTCTAAAATGCACCTATCTTCTACACTAGAAGATGGCAGCAGTGTCTGCTTGGACATCGACTCGAACAATTCCGTTGTTACGATTGCTTGTAAATGCTTAAATAGAAACAGTACCTGTGACCCGGGAAGCCAGTGGTTCAAAATCATTGACAGCACAAGATGTACATCTGCTACGAAATCTTCAGTCGGGATCATCTCGATCTTCAATTTCATGGCAAAGAATCTGTTAGCAAGTTTTAGCTAGCAGCATGATACATAGAAGATTCATGAAACATTTAAATATGTTGTTCACGTAGTTAACATGAAATAGGAAATAAAGAGATTTGTCATTGAAAAATAGAAATGATATGTTTGGTACACAGTACTCGACAGAGGAGACAATACAATTGACAATATTTGAGCTTCTTTTCTTTCGTAACACTGTCGAATACTGTCCAGTTTATCTTACTCAATATGTCATAGTAGTGATGACATTTTGATACAGATAAATCAAGAAGAATACTGATTGTATAAATGACATAGCCATTACAGGATAGTTGTTGCAAGGTCACACCGATGATGATTTTACAAGAAAAATCCTACTTTCAGTCTCTTATTTATTGAATGTGATTTCTTCTGTTGGCAATGAAAACAGTGACATTTACCTTCTTCACATCTTGATATTCCAGGAAATTGATAAATCCTGGAGGTGATGATATTTAATGAAAACATAGATAAAAATACGATTCCAATCTTAAGGACACATAACAGCTGCTCAAGCCTTGCCTGATGGCCATAATGAATCAATATAGTAATAAGGTATATAAGAGAGTAAAAGAAAACAGAGAGGTCTAAAAGGATTACAACCCCCAGTATATTGATCAAGCAGCACAAGAAAACAAGCTTCGACTCGGATAAACTTTCAAGCTGGATAGCATAAAAGTTCCGAAGTTGGTTGTAAAAAAATTATCCAATGCCACATTTCGCCTTGCATTCATATGCTAATGGAAGCCCTAATTATGAGATGATTTCGGCGCAGTTTGAACAAAAAGGCTCATTCTCCCATTGCATTGCCTCCTTTCCACTATCTCTCTCTGTGGTGTAATCTTTGTCCGCAAACCTATAAAGAAGTGCACCACGATGCGAAAAAGCTTCAACAAAAAAGCTTCTTTTACATGAAGACACTAACCAGTTTTTTAGGAAAAGGAATAACCCTTCTGACTAATATAGGTTCGGGACTTAGGAAGAGACGTTGAAAAGCACCCTTAATACAATAATTACTTGATCCTCATATGTCAGAAGCTCTCGGAAACTAAATAAAATATTTCCTCTATCAAACCAATAAAAACATGAGTAAATATCTATTACCAGCTAAACCCCAGTATCTTGCAAGACAGCCTTTCAAGGACAACTTCCTGTTATGTGTTATAAAAGCAACTCCAAATTATATTAGCAATAGATTTGCAAATAATTATAATATACTCTTGCAACAATGGCTGCACGGCAGTTCATCTTGGGTCAAACCAATCCTTTGCAGCTTTGTGTCATATTGCGCTGATCAAGAGCAGTTGCAGGCCTCATTTTTTGCAATCTAATTTAGTCAAAATATAAAACATTAAAAATAGGGTGAAAGACAAATCGGTTGAATACATGAAAGATAGTCTTTTAACCTTAACAACAGATCTCAGGATATGCCATATATAAAGCATTAATAATAGTGGGAAAGACAAATCAGTTGAATACATGAAAGATAAGTCTTGTTACCTTAACATCAGATCGCAGGGATGCCATTTCCACGTATATCCCATCTTTTACTTGTTTGCTTCTTTAATTGCAACCTATAGCAATTCTATAATAAGAAAAACGGAAAAGTTCGAAACTTACAACTATCCAATATATGGGATAGTCTCGATGCTGTAAATCACTTCCTCACACTCTTTCACATTTAATTTTTCCTCTCTCTGTCGTTCTGAGTATTCTCAATGATTATATCATAGTAAAAGTAAAATAACCTGTTCCTTTATATCATCTTCATTTCCAAGATACAGGCATAAATTGGTGTCAGATTCACATATTAAGTTCCTTTAGTTCAGGATCTAAAAGTACATAAAGAACAAAGATAGTCCCATATATAGTACTATATAAATGGTAGAATTCTTTGCAGAGAATTAAAATACTTCAAAATTTAAATTCAAACCAAGGGATGTACATTTTTGTTCACTTGGCATGTGCATTTTCCTTTGATTGGGAATTGGAATCTAACTTCTGAAACAGAATTCTTTATATGTTTTTTCATTAATAAATTTACCATTTTGAAAAGGTTGCAATCATTTTGATTCCAAATAGTAAGAAAGATAATAATTTGAAACAAATATTCGGGGATATGTAGAAAAATTGTTGCATGGTCAGAAATTATCTAACATAAGTTAGTCTTAGCATGTGAGATCAGGTCAATAGAGAAGGATCATAAAATCGAATGTCACTTCTGATATTGTCAAATTCTTGTTACATACACTGTTTTAGACTGATCAAAATTAGTAGAATAGCAGCTTAATGAAGATAATTAGTATAAAAGCTTAAGAATTTCTAAGTGAATGCTTTTACTGTTTATCATGCAAATAAAATGATAAAAGATAAACCTGTTTCTCAAGCTTCCTTACTCTAGCTTCAGCTTCATCACAAATGTCCTCGGCAATGCTGTGCTGTAAACGAACTTTGAAGCAAGGTTTAAGAGACCAAGAATAAGTAAATATTTATTGGAGCGAAGGATGCTATTCAAGAGCATAATTCAAGGAATAAAAAGGATATACACCTTTTCGAGTATATTCTCATTTTCTTCTTGTAGCATATCAAGCTGTCCATAAGCAGACAATAGCTCGAAGAGAGACAAGCAGATAAACAAACTCCTTTCAGAAGCAGAAATCAACTGCACTATGTGCAGAGCCATGGTTCAATGTTTTGTATATGAAAAACATACTTCATCATGATGAGGAGAAGATGTGTGCTCATCCCTTATCTTTCAAGTTTAATTGCGCCAAATCTGGGGAAAACCTGCAGTTCACATAGGTATATGTGTTTGCAGCAAATAAATCCCATGAAGCTTTCACTCATTACAAACAAGCATTTGGACTGCTCACATTTTCATGTGAATAGAAAGGCATATCCCCATATACAATGGACATGATGCTTTAATCCAAATAAATATCATATGCAATATACATTTGACATGATGATAGATTTTGAGGTTATAAAGAAATTTCAAAGTGAAACTTTCATCAGAAAAAAGAAGAAGCTGAGCATGTCATTCATGGGAAGTTCAAAATAAGAAAATAACTAGTTTCTCAAACAGGTGAAGGATAGAGTATTCACTTTTTCTCTCTTGGTATATTGGTAGGAGGATCAATAGGCGATAATAGATTACATTGTTCGCCCTAGCTATGAATTTAGGTACTCATAATAATGAAAGAAAAATAAAAGTATAGAGTTCCTTACAGGGTTTTGAAATCTTGATCATGAAAAGAATTTGATTTTACACCAAGAATCTTCTTCAACCTCAAAAGTCTACGAACCCTAACTTTTGCACTTTGATCTTGATGATTGTGTGTTTTTCTCCCCAAAATTGTGTGGAACTCCTTCAGAAGTGTCAAAAACTTGTATTTATACTCATCCCCTCGTTTGTGTTGAATGCAGGATTTTTATGGGCTTCAAAACGGGCCAAAAAACGCGTCATAGATACACCCAGGCAGCGCCTTGACGCCATGGGAGTGGCGCCGCAGCGCCGCCACTTTGTATTGTGGAATTTGGTGGCGCTTGGAGACATGATTGTGGCGCTCCTTTCGGGTGAAAATCTGCATTGCACTTTCTTTAGTATTTTTATCATAACTTTCTCTCCCAATATCCTATTTTGACAATTCAAATTGGGTTGTAAAGATAATTCAAAGGGATACAAATTTGCTAAAAATAGCCTTTTTTCCAATTCGAATGTTTATGGGGGGTCAAAAATGGGTTTCAATGTTGAGCTAAAAATCTGGAACATACTTGTACGGTTGAAAATTGATTTGTGTCACTCCTTTTTTACTTTTAATTGCATCCAATTGACTCCTAGCATTCTCGAATCTTCATCGTGAGGTCCGACACAACTTTGAGTATTTGCACTTTAGCCCCTAAATTTTGGATCTTGCCCTTTTTGGCTTCTTTCTTTCAATTTCATTTCCATTCATCGAGTTTCATCTAATAACACTTTATATAATAAATTATGCTATAATTTCATTAAAAGAACTACAAAATATCAATATTTTAGAGCCCGAATAAGTGCGAATTGACGTAGATGCCCTTCCTATTGATGTTGAGCGAGCAGGTGGTCATCCAATAAGTAGGAAAAGGAAAAAGGAAAAACCTAGTTTTCCCTCTGATTACGGTATATAGAATCTAGATTATCACAACAAACGTTATTCCATAAACAAAATAGTAAATAAGAAACATAACATAAGCCACAAAAAAAGTAATTTATAATTTCTTGAGTCGTATTAGAATTTGTGCAAAAATAAATCTTCGCACCTTTTTCGTATTATATGCACGAGAATACAACTATAAAATAGATTGACGATAAAATTTCTAACAGCTAAATTACAATTGGCACCGTTAGCATTACAAATATCTCCTCCAATACATAGCTATAAACAAAATGCACTATTTTGTTTTCTTTACGGGACAATCTTTAAAGTCGACTTCATACTCCTGGTCCTTGTACATATGACAAATGAGATGCTAAATCAATGAACAGACAAACATTTTTGTGGTCAAGTTGTTAGAATATCGAACTTCAGATTCAACAAGTTTGAATCCATCAGAGTCCTTAACTGTAACACAAAATGCACAACTTTAATTTGAGCAGGTTCTCAAGGTATCAGCATTCTTAACTACCCAAGGATGTTCCATGATCTTCTGAAGAGAGAGTTTCTTAGCCGAGTCCTTCACAACAAGCTGGCTCATGAGACTTTTAGCATCAGCAGAAACATGCAGGGTGGAAGGGAAGTTCGGGTTGACCTTCATAATCCTTCTAAACTTGTCCTTCTGGCTTTCAACCTCGAATGGAGGGGCTCCATACAAAAATTCATAGCAGAGAAATCCGAAAGTCCAATTATCAACTACCTAATCATGAGCCTTATTCTCCACGATTTCTGACGCTAAATAGTCTAAAGTTCCAAACATAGTGGTCTCTTGCTTTTCGATTGCACAGACCATCCAAAGTCAGTAATTTTTAGCCTACCCTCATGGTCGATTAGCAAGTTCTCTGGTTTGATATCCCCACGAATCACATCCTTCTCATAACAGTATGCAAATGCCTGTGTGAGGCTCGATATGTAGGTAGGTGGTGGCTTGTCTTTCAGAGAGGTACCAAGATTTCCGTAGCTCTTTATACAGTTCACCTCCATGAGCATACTCCAAAATGAAGAAAATTCGCTCCGCATCCCATATATACAGTCTCAGAACATTAGGGTGACAAAGACTAGTCTGAATCTCCATTTCCCTTCTCAATTGGTGGGGCAATCTGTGTTTCTCTATTTGCTCCTTGAAAATCACCTTCAGCGCTACTATTTGCTATTGATTTCACGGGCGAGGTAGACGTGGCCGAACTTGCCTTTGCCAAGATGTTTACCGATTTGGAAATCGGCAATGGTTCTTGCGATGGGTTTTGGATTGAGCAGTTATTGAAAATCAACGAGGATGGGATTGAAGAATTACGTAGACAAATGAAGGAACTTGGGAATTAGGGCAGAATTGAATCGGTCCTTTTGAGAGGGAAAGAGGAAGAGGAGGATTGAATTTGAATAGGTATTATAAAAGTGACTTAGTTGTAACTAGGGTTGGGTAAAATATCCGAACCAAATCGAGCGGGTTTTTTAAAATGAAATACTTGAACGGGTATCCGAATCGAGAACCGAATGGTTTGGTTCGGTTCTCGATTCTCGACCCAGAATCGAAGAACCGAATAAGAACTGAATTTTTTTTTTATATTGGATAAATCAATTTCTTTTATTTTTTCTAAACAAATTAATAATTTTTTTCTTATTAAATCTTATTAGTTGAACAATTTAGAGTTTATTTATGTTTGTTAGTTGTGTTTTTTTCCATTTTTNAATATTTTATCTTTGTGACTTCTAATTTATATTTCACTTTTATGTAGATTTGAAGATTTAAAGCAAATGAATTATTGATATGAATATCGAAGTTTTATTAGTAATATTTATTTTTTGGTATTTGTATTTGACAACTTATTATTTATATGTTATTTTAAATTAGATTACGTTAATTTGTAAAAGTTAAGATTGAACTTGGTATTTGTATCTACTTTTTGTTATTAATATTAGTATCCACTTTCAGGTGTATTTATGTAGTATTATTTTAAATGTTAAAAAATTTAATTATAGTACGGAACCGAACATAACCGAACCGAATCGAACTGAAACCAAACGGTTCCAAAATTATATTTGGAACCGACGGTTCCATTTACTAAATACCCGAAAATTTCTGGAGCCGAAAAAAATCGAACCGAATCGAATCGTCCTGCGCCCACCCCTAGTTGTAACAATAGAAAAAATTGAAGACACTGTTAAAATTATAATACACTTTTCTCTTTTCTTTTTAATCACACATTTTTCAATAACATAATATTACACATAAATAAAAGAACTTTTCATCTTTTTTCAACATTTCATTTTCCAAAAAAATACTATTTCAAAAATTATAATCTCAAATAATGAAGATCAAACTTTCGATAAAATAAAATACAGTTAAACGAACACTAATTTGTCCATTCACGCATACTGAAGGGATGTCTCTTCGGATTTCAAATTGGCTTGCAATAACACGAAGACCTTAAAAAAAATTAAATTTCAAGGGAAAAATTCACTTGAACCCGAAAAACTAGCCCAACCGTCTCGATCAGTTTGAGTCAATATATTTTTCTTGTCAATTTGATTTTGGGTTGGAATTCCACCTAAACCAAACTGTCGATCATCGGATTAGTTTTGAATCCGAACAAACTCGATCCGTGCCTACCCTAGTCGCAACCCGACATAAGTGACCTTCCATTGTGACATTTTGATAGAAGAGGGGCCAATACAGTGTGAAGTCAGGTTCCTTGATGGTGTAACATTACAGAATTCAAGCTCTCAATGGCTCCCCAATCCTCTATGAGCATGGTAGAAAGCCCTATGGAACCTCAACGTCCCAAATAAGGCGAAAATATTCGTTTGGAGGATTTTTCTGGGAATTATACCTACAAATTTGGCACGCAATAATAATAGACACATCTCAATGGATGCTCAATGCGGTAGGTGTGGCTTTGATTGAGAAAACTCTTTTCATGCCCTGTTTCGATGCTTTTTGATGGAGAAATCTTGAGGTTGAGTACATTAGCAGATTTAGTTATTGATTTTTCTGCGTGATAGTGCTGGGAAAATATACTTGGTGGCCTGGATGACGCTGGACAGAGAAGATTTGGAGCTGTTTGTAGTTGTGGTGTGGAGTGGAGTGAATGGTCGATATTCTCTTATCTTCGAGTGCATTCATGGATGACCTGAACTAACTCTCCAATGGGATGCATGTTTCATTAAGAAATATCATCAAGCTTCAACGAGCAATTTAACTCAATTGAAACTCAAAAATAAACATACGAATTTCAAAATTGATCTGCTCAAACAAATCACCATCTTTTGTAAACATGTTGAATGACAAAATCCACAATGAGCAATTTGATTCGATTAAAACTCAAAAACGAGTACACGACTTTCAAAATTGGTTAGTTCAAACAAGTCATCATCTTACGAAGATATGTTAAAAGGATAAATCCATATCAGTTAAATATTGAAATATATGTGCATATAAGGGCTTAAACTCGTCTTAATAATGTAGACATTTTAAGATGAAATTGCAAGTCTTAATATAGACTTATGGTTGGCTAATAGGTGGTGACACCTCCAACCCCCAGGAAATTGAAATTGAATGTGGATGCAGCAATGGAGTGAGGTTGATATGTATATGGTGTTGGGGCTATAGCAATGCACATGACGAGATGGTGGCAGGTCTCCCAAAAGTTCTCATAGGTAACATTGAACTGCTGTTGGGTGAATGCATGGTGTTGAGGGAAGGACTGAAATGGGCACGACATCTGGATATCTTTTCTGTTGAGACTGGCTACTGCAATTTAGAATTCAAACAACCACGAACCACAAGGAGCAATAATCTATGCTGGATAGCATAAAAGACCAATACATGCACTATGTTTATAAGAACGAGAAAACAAGTTTCAAACTTAGATTAAGTTCAATGCTGGATAGCATAAAATATCCCAAGTTGGCTGTGAACAAGTTATCGAACATTGCATTCATAAGAGAATAGAAGTAACAATTGTACGATGAGTTCAATAAGAAAAACTGTCGGCATAGTTTGAAAAGAAAAGCTCATTCTTCCATTGCATCACCTCCTTCAATCACTTCCACCATCTCTCTCAGTGGCGTAATCTTTGTGCTCAATACCTCTGGAAGGAATATAAATATTATAGCAATTACGTTAATAACTCATTCAAGAAGTGCACAACATCGTAAAAAATCTTTATTGATAATGCTTTCTTTTACTTCTGTCCAGTAAACTAAGGCCTGTTTGGCATGAGTATTGAAAAGCCAAAAGCTGATTTTGATACTAAGAAACCGTTTTGTGGTTGTTTGGACAATTTCCATTGCCTAATTAAAAGAACTTTTAGAGGAAGTTGGCCAAACGAGACTTCCTCAAGAAACCACTCTTTAAAAAGCAGCTACCCAAACGGGCCCTAATTATGTGTACAAAAATAAATGGAATGAAGATACTGACCAGTCTTTTTGGAAAATGAATAACCCTTCTCACTAATATAGGTTCGAGGATTCGGCAACATGTGGTTTCTCAGATATTCCTTCTCCCCCTGAAAGGCAAAAATAACTTGATTGTAGAAGCCACTTTCCTCTAGTACCAAGATGCATTAAATATGGTTGATATGCTAGGAAAAACAATCAAGGATTGATCATTAAAAAGAAGAAAACAAACCTTGGTTATTACACAGATATCTACATTGCTTCCACTTCCCAAGTCATTGAATATGCCAGAGCATATGGCCTCAGATACTAATTTTACACCTTCATCCCTCTATCAATTTATTTGTATAATTATTATGAAGGATTCAAGATTTATCAAATCGTGAAATTCTATGCATTTCAGAAAAATAAAATACTGCACACATACAGTCAGCCCTTCACGGTATTTTGACTCAAAGACAGCCATTGCAGCAAGGGAACCGGAACCCATTGTGGCAAACGGGAGAGTGTCAGTTGAACCATGTGGATAAATCTAGAAAATAAATCATTCAAGACTCTCAGATAAATATCGCATGATTAAAAAAAATGATTTCGATAGATCTAGATGCAAAAGTAACTCACAGTATGTAAATGTGGGCCTGTGACATCAACTCCACCAAGCACCAAAGCAGCTGAGACATGTCCTTGGTAGCTAATAAAGGAATAAAAATTTAGGCCTTCTAGAATAACTTTACAAGAAAACTGATAATGCTCGGAACACGAGATCACCTGAAAAGATGAGACTTCAACAATGAAAGAGCTGTCACAACCCTCGACTCACGACCAGTGTGATAACGATGTAGCTTCAGCTGGGAACTAACCATGTCTAGAAAAAGCGATAGCAATATGAAAATTACACTAAACAAACAGACGAATTAGAAAAGAACATGCTGATTGCACCGCGACATGGAACAAAAATTAAGAATACCTGTAACAGCTTCTGTATCAGCAGCAGTCCCGGCTCCACAGCAGTAAATATTTGAGGCCATGTAATGAATTTTCTCGCAGTTCTTATCTGCAACAATGGGTCCTTCGGTGGCTCGTGTGTCTGCTCCAAGAATGACACCATCCTGAATAATAATGGATTGTTAACAGAGGATGAGTTAATTATGCATCTAGCCACCCTCTTCATGTCTTATGAACCAGGATCACTGAATATATTCAAGAAAGCAATATTGTGTATACAGTAAAGGATGTGATAAATATAAAAAAACAGCTGGTTATGTTGACGTTTTTTCTGTTATAGAACAACTTTTCTAAGGATGCCTAGAATTTTTTCACAGAAGCTTTATTAAAATAACGTGGTTTATCGTTTCTATTAAATTTCATCTGAATGGATTCACTCAGGCTTTCCACAGTTGTGGGAATCAACTACAGTGTCCAATGCTAATAGATCATCATTGCAGGAAATATGTGTCTTATCTGCACCTCATTCTCTGCTTATATATCAGGCAGTACTTCCCTCTTCAATCCATAATCGAAGTAGATAAAAAATGTGGAAAACCTGACTGCGATTTCAAAGTTTGAATTAATGTTCTCTGCCATGTTTCAATTGTCTTCTACGCACCTTTTCATGATGAAAAACCAAACTAATAGGTTGAGGATGGGATTTTAATTCATCTCTCCTAACAAATTACTGAGATACACTTATATTTATATGCTGCTTGATTTGTAAAAACATCATTCCAAATAAATATAAGATCATTAACATACCATAAAATGACAATTACAAAGTAAATATATCACTGTTAGTACCACAGTCAGATAACTATAAGGGCATTTGGCACCCATCAATTTTTTTTTAAAAAAATTCTCTTTCTTAATTATATTAAACCACACATTCTCCAAATAAAATAATATTACACACAAATCTAAAACTTTTCAGTACTTTTCAACCACACATTCTTTCATCAATCACTATTCCAAAATTTATAATTTCTCAAAAATGGGTGCCAAACACATGCTATATTGCCTCTACATTTTTCTTATTGTTGTGGTGGTGGGAGGTGATATTCATTATGGTTCCAACCCCTCTATATTCCATGAAAATATCTCCAAAAAATATTCCCAACTAAACCAAGATGTGAAAGGTATATACACAGAGACAAGTTAGCGTTACATCTATATGGCATCAGCATACTGACCAATAACAATGTATAGTATTATCTATTTTGCTACCACCACCACTTGAGACAAACAACCTTCAACCATTCTCTCTCCAAAGCGAGGATAAGAGTCCATATTTAACATACCAAAGAGTGTATGCACCAGAAAAAACCCTCCCCCTCCCCCCTTGTTGCAAATGATGATGATCCCATAAGTCACCCAAACCCCCAACTCTCATGTCTGTCCTTAAATTGGATAATCAGCATTCCTAACTCCTTTTAAGCATACTATAGAGGTGCATGATGGTAGGTTATACAATTTTTACAGCCGATATACACAAACATACATACAACTAAGAGAGATTCTTTTAACCATAAAAAACCCAAAACTGAACAAACACTCGTGTTTGACTATTCATTTAACCACAACCAAAACCCATTAACGTATTCTCAAACACTTGTGTTTGACTAATCAAAACCTAAAACATCAATCCATTTTTGCTTCCCAGAGGAACAAAAATCAGACTAATCACCTACTGTGAAAAGCAACTTTGTCAGTTAAAAAATAAAACTACCCCAATAAAAACTCACAGAATTCCAAATTAATAACCTTGCAATAATTAATCCCAATACATAACAAACCCAGAATCCTACAAAAAGCAATCAAAAAAAAAAAAGAGACGAGAAGAATAAATTACTAAAAACAGAGGGAAATAATCTCAATCACCTTAAAAATTAAGCCGACAATGGTGGTCCCCGTCTTGAGAAATGATGGTTCCTTCAAACCCTTCTTGACAAGCATGTCATTCCTCTTGCACAAATCAAAGCTGAACCCACCTTTAGGTAGCATCTCCATTGCGTCCCTTGACATCTTTACTAACTATTCTTTTAAATTGATCTAATCGCGGAAAAAAAAAAATCAAATTCTATTATAACGATTAAGAGCTAAAAATAGAAATATATTCCGAGCTTATGAAGGTTAAAGATACACCCACAATAGATATTATCGCTATATGTGTAAAACAGTGAAATTATTGAAGACCCACTGAAGATCTAGCAGAGCGAGAGAGAGTAATTACCAGAGTTCTTTTAGAGAGGGCTTTAGAGCAGGGAGGCTTGGTGGAAAAGAAAAGGGGAGGGGACATTTGTATAATTTTGAGAAACATTTTAGGGACGAGGAAACATTACAATAGTGGTCCTCGACCTTTGATAAATCAAGCACAAGAGTTCTCACTTCTTGATTTAGACCACTTCATGTCCTCAACTTTTTGAAATTCTTCTAGGGGTCCCAAACTTTCCTTTTGTTCCATGCAATGTCCCCAACCTTCCGTTTAGGCCAACTCGTATACTCAACCTTTTAGTGCTTGTTTAATATGAATTTTTGGGGAAGAATTGATTTTTGAATAGTGATATGATGGGAAATGTATGGTTGAAAAAGAAAAAAAAATTATTAATGTGATGAAAAATATTATTTTATTGAAGAATGTGTGGTTGAAAATGAGAATTGATTTACTGTAGAAAAATCTAAATCCTTCTCAAATAGGGCCTTAATCTCGAGTCCAATAAACTGCAAGATATAAATTGTGGGTTTAAGTGTTAAGGGAATTAAGATATTTAGAGCTTGTTTGGGAGAGATTTTTGGGGGAATAATTGATTTTGAATAGTGATATGATGGGAAATGTGTGGTTGAAAAAGAAAAAAAAATTATTAATGTGATGAAAAATATTATTTTATTAAAAAATGTGTGGTTGAAAATGAGAATTGATTTACTGTAAAATTTGAGAATAAAAAACAAACAGACAAAAGAGAAATGCACTAGGAACTTGATAAATGACTGATGGATGTAATCATTTAAAAATAATTTTCCTCCACTTTAAATATATCTTGGATTGATATAAATTCGAGAAGATTCTGAGTTTATATAGGATATAATGCAAACCAACCACTTAATGGTATTTGAAGTGCTACGAAATTATTTTTCAATAACTATACTCATTAGTCATGCTATTGCGTGTTCTTTTGCAGCGTTCTAAAAAACATAATGTATTGCGATGTATGGAGGTTAAGCTTCGGGTAAGGCATGCCTAGGTGTAAAATTTTTAAAATATTTTTTTAATATTATTTTAAATTTTTAATCAATCTAAAAATCATTTAACAATTAAAATAATACCTACCAAACATAAAAAATAGATTTATAGTAACTTTATACATTTTTCAAAATTTCCAAAAAAGATAAGATTTAAAATCATAATTACATAATATAGATAACATATGAGTTTAAATCTTATTTAACTCTTTATAAATAATGCATGCATTAAGTGTTCATTGTCGACGTTGACCGCTTAATTAGTGCTTAGGCTCCATGCATAACGTTTTCACCACGACTCACACCTCGGCGATGTCGCCATTTACAACACTGTACTTTTGTCCTCTAAATAGATGGTTTTCATCGGATTGAGATTCTATGCATACAATTTTTTTTAAGTTTAGGGGTCTAGTGTGGCTCAAAAGAACGTTGAGAACATGGTGCGTCGAATGTTTAAAAGTTTGGGATCCCTAGAGGAACTTACCTTTAATTTTATGTCACATTGCCTCCAATCTTTCATCTTTGGTGTACATTATCCTAATGTTAGATCTTTGATATTGTTTCGCGTGGGTTATCACTAACAATTAAAAAAGGGTTCAGACGATTGTGTAAGGAACAAATCTCTTGAAACAAAGTCCCAAAAATGGGTGTTTTATTGATGAAGAGTGCAATTGGAAATAAACAGAATGCCTCCAAAGGGCGCAAGCACACGAGTACTAAAAAAAGTGCTTTAAAGTTAAACTAAGAAATTAAAATTACATATTCTCTGTTGAGAGTGTTTGATTCAGGGGCCCTTTTCTCTATGTCTTCCTTTCCTTTTTATACTCCCTTGATAGTTTCTTTGTAAAAAACTGCTTGATGCTCTATAACTACCCACTTTCGTCATGATAGCGACTTGTTGTAGAACTGCCATCTCTAACTGCTGCTATTACTCTTGTTGTTTAATTGCCTATAACCGGGATTCTGGAATCGTGGGGTGTGATAAGATTGCTCAATAACCGCTTCAATAACTGTTGTATTGGATAACCATAATACCTTAGATTCGCTCAGTTCCTGGGCTACTAGAGGGTTTGGGCGAGAACGGGATCATCGCTCTAAGCGACCGTAAGGCACTCCATTCGCTCAGATTTTGGGCATCTTGCAAACTTGGGCGATGATGTTACTTTTTTCGTGGGCCTCCATTGCATTCATTAATGGTCCTTTTTGGGTCTTCGTCCTGGATTTTCCAATTGGGCTTCATTCTTTAAATTATTCAATTTGGGCTACACTTTTTGTATGTCAACAATTACCCCCCCCCCTATTAATATCAATTATTAATCTTTGCTATATTCTTCGTTTGTATTTTTCGACAATATTTGAAATTCTCAAGAATTTCAATCATTATTTCCTTCTATAGCCTGAAAAGATGTAACGTTACAAACCCCTATAAACCCAAAAGACACACCACTTTATTGCGCAATTACCTTCACGTCTTTACATCGTACGTTCTATAAAGGTCACTGTTCATTGTCTTGCTTCCTCACTACGCTTCTCAAAAAACCTTCACAACATCTGTACTTTGCATTAAATGGCGACTTCACAAACTCATTCCAATGATTCCTTCAGTTTTGAGGATTTCCAAAACCTTCTTACTAGACTGTATATAAATTCAAACTTCCTTGCACAAGCCAACGCTGACCTACATGAATTCTATCTAGGTCCATCATTCAATAATGCTGAAGCTGTCGGACGAGCGGCGGTGGGTCAACTATTCCCTTGCACTGAAGATCCTCATTTTCTGAACTCACTACCATTGAAACCAATCAACAATAAAAGTATTCGTACTTAGCCAAAAACTGATCCTAGTTTTCGTAGATGACATGCATGTATGGTAAATCATGGTCCCATCAAAGCAATTTTCGATCGTGCTGAGATTTTGGACCTATTAGAAATTACCATTTTTCCCCCAACTTATGACCCAATGCTTTTTCCAATTGCCCTGAATTTCTGATCTTCTGAGTATAACACTTTTATTTTTCCTCTTGGCTCAATGTCTATTATTCTAAGGGATATTGGAGCCCTAGTGAATCTTCCGCCCTCAGGCGATACCATCTTTCTTGGTATTTTGATTTCCAGTGTTGCTCCAAAGTTTGACAAGAAAATTGCTGAATCTTATTCAAGCATGCAAGGCCTTTATACTGCTTCCAATTCTGAGCCTACTCATGCTGAGCGTGTAGCCTTCCTTCAGGTCTGGCTCTGTAAATATCTTCTCTGTGTCCCCAACCTGAAACCCTCATTAAGTTATCTGCATCTATCTCATGAGTCAGCACGTGACAGGTCTTTGAATTTGTGTTCATTCTTTTTAGTCGCCTTTTATAGAGGCATGGCTTCCCTCCAATTCCAATTAAAGAATGGTGAGTCTCCCACTGGTAGTGGGCTTCTTTGGCTTGCTCAATTGTGGTTGAGAGCCTATTTTCCACAAATTGGTGCTCCACCATCTCCTCCCCGAATATTCAGCTGCTATGGGCTATTCATTTATTAATTGAGCCATGTAAATATATCCAGCAGAGACATTTTTACATTCTTTTATACTTTGAATTCAACGCTTTCTTTTTTCCCTTTTTTCCTCACCAAATCCCTTTTTATGTACGGATTTCTTCTACCTTAGCTGAAATGAGCACTTCCTTGCCCATTTGGGTTCAATTTTTGGTTGTGAGAGAATTGTTCCATGACATTGTCACATGAACAAATGCAAAGGCAGGGGTTGAGATATATGATCCCCAATTTTCTGCTTGCCAACTTGGTTTTGGCCAAATGTGGCTTGTTCCTCTTTGTTATTTTAAGAATTTGACAGAGCGTTTCTGTACTATCAATAAATCCGAGGCACAAGTCATTGATGCTCACAATAATCTTTTGGCCAAAGGTTTCTCTTTGGCTCTTTTCAATACTACTGTTGTCACACACCCCCTTTTTGACCAACTTTGGCCATCTGTGAAATATAGGTTGTTCATAACTGATGTCAATCATGTCTTCCATCTATTGGATCGACCAGATACTTCTTCTACTTCTCCTATTCTAGCCATCCCTATATCTATTAGGAATCCCATCTATTCTCCTCAATCACCATTTACTCGCGCTAAACGTCCTATTCCTCCACCTGCTTCTCCACCTGTCCAGGCTACCACAGCTAAAGGTGATTCCAGCTGCAAACGGCCAGCTTCAGCTTCTCCAATTTTGCAGGGTGATGATAATGATGATGATGATGATGATGATGCTTCTCTCATCCTTAGGAGAAAGATAATTAAGTTTGTTTATTCATAAAACACCATCCTTCATGTATTAATGCTTTGCCTGAATTTTTCAGAAGAGTTCAGCTTCCCCCTCAAAGGTTCTAGTCTTAGCATCTCCTGTTCCATCGCCTCCTGCTAAAGCTGCTTCATCCAAATCAGCTGATGAAGGGACTCTGCTTAAAGAAAAATCCTTAGTCCCAGAGTCTTCATCACAACCAGTTGAAGAGCTGTCATCTTCCGAGGGAGTTGACCCCCCAAGTGTTGAACCAGAATGTAATACATATTTTAATGTTTTTACCCTTGCTTGTGCTATTGGTTTTCGATTCATTGCTTCTTGAATTCTGCAGAGGTTCCTATGGACCTACCCGTTGTGGCAGAGTTAATTCGTTCAGATAAAGGGAAGTCTCCACAGGTGGCATAATTAACCAGTGATGTGCCTGAACTTCCCAAAGTTGCTGATGATGTAGCATTTTGCTTCTTTCTATTTTCACTTCGCTTGCT